GTTATAGTTTAGAAATAATGGAAATAAGTCACTAAGTCACCATACAGTAGTCGTTCAGAGCAAATATGCCAAGTCACTCTAGAACTACAGAAATTTACGGAGAAAAACTGCAAAGGCCAATTTGGTATGCTCCATCCAAGCACCACAGAAGTGCTATATGAGTAAAGTAACTGGCACATAGTAGGCATACAATACTAAGAAAAACCGATGAATCTGAGATAGCAGATGCCTGGCACAATGTGGTGGTGACAGATTAACACCGAGTGGGAGAGATGGACATGCAGTTATCTGAGCCTAGTGCCTTTACACATCTGAATCATGTAACTCTGATTCCATATCCACATGGCTGCTTCCATGCTCACCAAGCAACCTGATTGAGACATGGCTTCCCATGTTGCTTGCCTATAGGAGAGGTCAGGGCCTTCAACAATTCCATCTCTCACTGTAAATTAATAAACTGGCCTCATGAGCCCATTTTCTGTGAGTCTAGTTCTATGGGAGAGAGCCACTCCCTGAGTGTGGTCACGTCAGTATCCTGGGCCCCTCAGGTAAAGACCACACTCAGTGACAGTGCACTCACTAAGGCAGTGGTCGCCAACCTTTCGGACCTCACGGACCACTGGTTGGCGACCGCTGCTCCAAAGGTTTCCTTAAACCAGCGGTCGCCAACCTTTCGGACCTCACGAACCACCAATGGTCTAGGGACCACCAATTGGCAACAGCTGCACTAAGGTACTGTCTGCCCCCTGAGCCCTCTCAGGAGACAGCCTGCTGCACTCCCCCAGGCAGACTCGTCTCTCCAAACTCCTAGCAAATCACGTTAGATTACTCTAGTTAAAATGTCTTACTTTCCTCTGCTTCTCTGGATCTTCCTGGGCTATTTTTTCATACCAGGTCTCAAACATGCCATCCTGACACTCATCCATCCATTCTGAATTCTGCTTGGCATCAGCAAGCTCATCTTCTTCACTCCATTGGCTGAAAGAAGGACAAAAAGAGAGGAAAGCATGCCTCTCCCAACAATCCTAGAAAGTGCTGGTTAGCAGACTGTGTCCCATGGGTCTAAAACATGGGGTATTTTTAAACTCAGGGGAAGAGGTCAATGTGCTTTTCAAAATCCCAAGATTTTCCAGATGCTTGATAAATATACACCAATAAAAAGGGAGATGTCCTTTCCAGGGCAGACTACAATGGCTGAAGAACTAGAACTTACAAAGTTGTACCTACATGGCATAATTCTACTTGACAACCTACTATGTGCCAGGCACTGGAGCCAAATGAAGTGATTTTTTTTTTAAAGTCTTATTTGGTCATGCTCAGCACACCCTAGTGGGATCAGCATGAGAAGAAAATCAAGAGACCCTGGGGCTTTAACTCTCCCACTAGCTGCTGCAAGATCTTAACACAGCACTCAGCTTGGTCCTCAGTTTCCTCTTTTCAAATAAAATTTCATATAGATAATCCATGGGCCCTTTAGCTGCAAAATTGTAAATATCCATTATTTCAGTTTACAGTTTGTTCTAGTCACTAGAATTTTAAATACAAAATGATTTGCTCGACAGAAAATGCAAAATAAATTACCAGCCAACAAATACTCATTTGTTTATTCACGTGTTCCAACAAACTGACTTAAGTCCTGCTCAAACTGAGCTCTGAGCTAGGTGCTATCAGGGACTGGGAGGCCAGGTGTGGTCCCACCCAAGGACTCATCATATAGGTGCAGACAAGCCTGAAACAATGAGCAGACTGCCAGGTGACGGCCCCTGTGCTATGTCCCTTCTGTCAGCCAAGAGCGCCCTCTGACAGCAGAGCCATGGCTGAGGTTTGGTAAACAGAGACAGCTTGAATTCTATCTCCTTTTCCCAGAATCTCTCTTGAGAGAACTGTTCTGGTGTTAACTCATTCATTTATTTCCTCCTAATTCTCTCCTCTTGCTTTTCTTCTCATTTCTTTTCTACCCACATGAGTGCTTAATGAGCAGCTTGAGCAGTGTGGAAAGACATTCATTAAAAAAGGAAAGGAAAAAAACCCTTTGCAAACTATTTTTTTTTCCTCATGCTTTAAGTCCTTATAATGTGCAAGATGTTATAGTGGCTAAAAGCACATATACACATAACAAAAAATAAAGAAAAGGATTCTTCAATTTAACAAACTATACAATTCCCAAAACGCAGAGAATCCTCATCCTCCGGGTGTACAGTGCCACCACCACCAACTAGCTTACATACACGGCCATGTACCAGGGCCTGGTCCAACTCATTTATTCCTCCCAACAATCCTGTGAGGTAGGTGCCATTACTATCTCCAGCTCTAAACATGAGGAAACTGAGGCACAGAGCGAGTGAATAACTTCCCCAAGGTCACCAGCTAGTATGTGGCAAGGCCAGGATATTGCACAGAGAGCCCAGCTCCAGAGTCCGTGCTCTGAACCCCTATGCTACATGCAATCCCTGTACTGCACACTCGCCTTTAAGAGCTGCAGAGTGTGGGACTGTGCTCTTACCTGATCACACTGTCATGGACACTTATATTTTCTTGTGACATTTTCATGAGGAGATCTGGTAACTGAATGTCAACAAAGAAGGTGAGATCACTGGGTTCCCAGCCCATATCCAAGAGATGAAGTAGAGCTGTCTGAACACAGGATAAGGCAGGCAGCAAGGACCTAAAGAGACCATAAAAGTGAGAGTTATCAAAGCTGCACCTCACCAACAGAGACAAGACACAAAGGCAGGGAGCTGGTCTGACTGAAGTAGAAAGCACAGGGGAACTCCAGACTGCTGGTCTGTTTCCTTATCGTCACCTCTCAAGTTTCTCATACTCCATACAAACCTTCTTCAAAGAACAGGAGTTCAAAAAGCACAGAGTAAGATTCCCACTTTGCAAGGACTACCATAGGGGACATTTAATGGTAAAGGACTGACTAGTAAAAACCACCTCTCAATAAATAGCAAGAGCAGGGCCAGTCCCAACTTAGATTATGCAACTTAGATGTAGAAAAGAACCAACTGATTTAAGGTTTAGTCCAAACCACGTGCTATGGAGAAAACTGGGGAGTGGCTTTATTATTTGTTTTAAAACTGTACACAATATAATAAAAACTAAAAATAACAAGTTACAAATTCTTAGATAAACCAAGACCCATCCCTTTTAAAAAACTGTACACCCCATATAGAATAAAAGCTGGGAGAAAATATACTAATAAGTTAACATTAGCAATTAGCTCCAGATGGTAAGATTAGGGGTTATTTTCATTTTACTCTTTGTACTTTTTTACATTTTCAACACTGATTTTAAAATCAGAAAAGGTATAAATTTTTCCTTAGAAATGACAAAGTTATCCAGTACCTGTCATTTATGCTACTAAATCCTTTAATCGCTTTGACCATAAAGAGAACAAATCGATAGTAAGTGTCTCGAATTTCTTTGTGTAGAGCTGCACCACAGCCTTCCAAATGTCCAAAATAACTAGAAACAGAGGAAATCATTGATCACTTAATTGTCAAAACATCATTTATTTAATAATAATTTTACATGAAAAAGAGCTAGGAAGAAGCAAACAATGAAGTGGCACAGAAACCTAAGTAAATACAAATATACTGGTAATAACTTCAGAAAATAACAGACAAAACAGCAAGTGAGTCTGCCAGGGTCAAGAGGGCTGCCACAGGAGTATGGAAATACAATTAATCTTCCTTTGCTAATAAAAGAAGCACCTTCCCACCACTACCTGAGTGCCAGAAGCTGTGTTAGGTATTTTTCACAGATTACCTCCTTCTATCCTCTCCATGGAGTCCTGCCCACCCTTTAGCTTCCCTTCATTGATGCCGTTAGCACCAAGCCCAGTCTTTGCTTCCTTGATCCTAGTCACCTTGGAGACTTCAACATCCATGGGAATGATGCCCCCGTCCCTCTGTCCCTGGTTTCTCTGCCATCGCCACCTCCAGTGGTCTTCTCTATCCCCTTGGCCATCCCCACCTGACGGTCACTTCCTGGACCTTGTCATCACAATAATGGCATTATCTCTGAAATCCTCACTTCAGAGCATCCTACTCTGACGACAACCTCTCATCTTGCTCACCTGCTCTGGGACTTCCACACAGCATTTTCAATCCCAGGAAGCCCCACCATGATGCTGTCTCATGCTCACTATCTGCTATTCCACCACCCTTTCTTTCTTTTTGTTCCATATACAAGCTTAACCCTTTTCGGTCCTGACTCAACAGACCAGGCGCTAGGAGCAGGTCCAACATCGAGGCTGAGGTCGACATCGCAAACCGGTTCAACATTCAATCCCGTCAATTAATTTGGACCAGACTATTTGAATTCCAAAAATAAAACTGGACCGCAAAGGGTTAAGATCCCATGACCAATCACACCTTAGCAATCACTGACTCCCTTACTTTTTTCTCCCTCCATATACTTGCATAAGAAATCTTATACCAAATCAAAACAGCTAAGTGATGCTGAAAGAAACACCACACAACCAAGCTTACTATATCTCTTTAAATTCACAACCATAACTCTCAAATAAGCACTCAAAATTGTCAGACAATCAGATTGACTTTCTCAATTGTTATTATTACTTCAAACCTTCCTACTTCTCCGTGAATTGCCACTGACTCCTCTTAAACCATATGGATACACACACTAGAGGCCTGGCGCATGAAATTCGTGCATGGGTACAGTCCCTAGTCTTGGCCTGCGATCAGGGCTATCTTCCCTGGCTGCTGGCAGCCAGCCCGCCACCCACCACCACCCACCCCCAGTTCCCTGTTCCCCATCGGGTGATCGGAGCCTGCTGGATGGAGGAGGGACTGAGAGGCTGGCTGTTCCGTTTGCTCGCTGGCTCTGCCCCCTGCCGCCGGATGCCCTCTGTGTGCCGCCGGATGCCTTCTGTGTGTGGGGTGACCAGCGGGACAGGGGCCTTGGCCTGGTGCCACCTGAGTCCGCTGCCACCCACCCCCAGTTCTCCATTCCCCATAGGGTGATCGGAGCCTGCCGGCCGGGGGGAGGAACAGAGAGGTTGGCCAGCAGGCTCCAATTGGGCGATCAGGGCCTGCGAGCTAGGGGCAGCTCCTGCATTGAGCATCTGCACCCTGGTGGTCAGTGCACATCATAGTGACTGGTTGTTCCACTGTCCAGTCGATCTGCATATTACGCTTTTATATATATAAAATAGAAGTGATAAGCCCTGGTGGGTGTAGCTCAGTTGGTTGAGTATCGTGAACCAAGAGGTCACCAGTTCCATTCTTGGTTAGGGCACATGCTCAGATTGTGGGTTCGATCCCCAGTAGGGGGCATGCAGGTGGCATCCAATTGGTGTTTCTCACTGTTTCTCTCCCTCTCTCTCAAATCAATAAAAACATATATTCTTTCGCCCTAGCCAGTATGGCTAACTGGATAGAGCGTTGGCCTGCAGACTGAAGGGTCCTGGGTTAGATTCCAGTCAAGGGCATGTACCCAGGTTGTAGGCTCAACCCCTGGCCCTCGTCAGGGATATATGAGAGGCAACCAATTGGTGTGTCTCTCTCACGTAGATGTTTCTCTCTCTCTATCTCTCCCCTGCTCCCTTCCACTCTCTATAAAAATCAATAGAAAAATATCCTTGGGTGAAGATTAACAAAAAAATAAAACAAAACAAAAAAACATATTTTTAATAAAAATGATTACATAGAAATCCCCCCATCTTTGTCCCAACAAAGCTACCAGCAGCTCTATCCATACTGTGTTTCCTCCTGCTACCACAAATAGAGTCTCCATGGCTCTATTAAAGGATGACTTCTCTACCTATGCAATTGCTACTACATTGATCCCTCTCTTCCTGCATCATGTTTTCCTCATTACTGACTCATTTCCACCAGCATATAAATATATTACTATCTCTCGAGAACCCTCAGTTTTTCCCACATCCCCCGCAATTACTACCCTATTCCTCTGCTCCCTCCACTTTAAGGCCAAATTTCTGGAAAAAATGTCTATAGTCTTTCTCTACATCTTATCAACCCCACCTCCCAATTCTCTTCTTAACCTAATCCAAGGGGGCTTTCGGCCCCATGGCTCCAGTAAGACTATATCAAATCCAGTGTGTTCTTCTCTCATGTAACCTCTCACATCAGCATTTGACACAACCAACCATTCCTATCTTTTGAGATACATTTTCTCTTGGCTTCTATGACACCACCATCCCCTGGTTCACTCTCAATAGCCACTCCTTCTTGATCTCCTTAGCTGACTACTCTTCCTCTGTCCGACTTCTAAATAAAGAAGTGTCCCGAAGGCTTAGTCCTGAGCCCCCTTTTTGTCCATCTCTGCATTCTTTCTATGAGGTCTCACCTGTCTCATGGTTTTAAATACTATCTATATGTTGATAGTATCCAAATTCTATCCCTACTCCTGGCTTCTTTCCAAAGATATTTTCTTGATAGCTTTCCTGAGATGTGAAAAAAGCAGTTCAAACTTAACATGGACAAAATAAAACTCATTGAGTTTCACCCCAATCTGTTTCTTTCATACACTTCCTTTCAGTAAATACATTACCATCCACTCAACTGCTCAAGCCAAAATCCTCCGAGTTTCCTTCCGCAGTAGAACAAGGGCCCTGTCTGCCATGTCCACTGCCATATGTGTATATACAACACCTAGAACAGCACCTGGCACAGTCGACACTCAGAAAGTATTTACTGCATGCATATTAGCACAACCTGGTGAGGTACTTAGATCAGTATCATTACTGGAAAGGAGCATTACATTGATTTCACAGCTTCCAGGAGCCAAATGATGAGCATGAAGAAATGGCAATATAATCCTGTCTGGTAAAATATAAACTCATCAGGAGAAATAAACACGTTCCTGGTATTTACTTACTAAAAGGATAGAATAGAACCCAAATTTCCTTAGGATGAGAGAACTGACCAAAAACATAAATTTGTTTCTTACATAGAAATGATAGAATTATTAATTAGAGAAGATGAGGAATTCTTTAAACAAACCCTGCTCATTGTCCTTGAAGACTTATAGTTTGTACTTACTTGGTGAACTCTTTCTGGCAGGTCAGAAGTTCCAACAGGAAAAGTATGTAAGGTGGATGGAAGCAATGCGGCTGCCCAAGGGCTTCTGCACAATACTGAATTATCTTCAGGACTTCAAGGATGCTCTGGGCTTGGGCTTTTCTCAAGGAAAGAACCTTTACAACACTGGAGACAGAACTCAAGTCAGGAACACCCAGAAAACTCTTGAGCTGGGGCAGAAAGAAAACACACCCCCGCCCAAGTTCTGATGCCATATTAATACAAGGGAAATACTATTGTGAGGTATCAGAAATATCACTCAGGCAGGATATCAATATCTGTTGCTACTTTTAGTGCAGCATTACAGATCAGTTCACACCATCCAGAAGCCCAACAACCCACACGAAAAAATTAATTAAAAAGGAACCTCGGTACATCTTTACTTCCCCATAGAGACAAAGCCTTCATTCTTAGGGTAGGAAATTAAAACATGAAATACTTCCAGAGATGTTGGCCCACTGACAAATAATTTTGACAGAAAATATCAAATTCTAATTTCTCCCAGGGTTAAAATAAGACAAACTTATAAATAGCAGCTACCAAAAGAAAAGTTTCTTTTCTTACCCTAACAGTACATTATTGAGATATAATTTACATACAGTACAAATCTTAAGTGAAAAAATACTTCTTGAAAAGAAAAACATTACCAATTTTTTTTAACATTCTAAAACAAATCTTGATCTATCCTTCAAGTATTATTTGCTCATTTTTAACATGAGCTTCAAGCCTTTGGGTAGACTGGTTACCTATGGCTTGAGAAAAGAAAGTGCTAGAAAGGTCACCTGGCTCACCTCTCATGGGACAGTGACTGATCTTTAATGAAGTCCATGACATCCCTCAGCACAGGGTATTTCTCTTTCACTGTGGGAACTGGTCTGGTCTCCTCCATTGACCGGAAGGAGAGCAGCCGGAGTCGCCCTCGGGTGAAGGGGGGCCGCCGAGTGGGAGTGGAAGGTGAAGAGGGCTCTTCGGCTGTGGCAGAGGACACTTCTGTGGCAGGAGGGCCACTGCTGGGTGGCAGCTTCGGCTGGACATCCAAGCCAGGACTCCTGTCTCCCGCAGCAGGGGGCGCTGCGTCAGTGGGAGATGCCGAGGCTTGGAAATGCTCTTCCACCACAGAGCTTGTCCTCTGGCGCTTGTCCAGTGGCTGCAGATGGTGATCAGGTTCATCTGTAGTCACCAACTTGTCAGAGCTTTCTTTAGAACTTATGCCCATGGACAAAAATTTTAGTAACAGAAGACTCTTCTGAATACATTCTTTTGCTACATGCAAAAAGAAAGACCATGGGGAAAAAGTCAAAATTAAACTTATTGCCTAGTTTTAGAGAGAAAATGACCTATTTAAACTCAACAATTTAGGACAAGAAATACCTCCATTATTACAGTGATAAAACATATTAACTAAGAGAATAGAATCAAATTTTATCTCATTTATATAAACCAAAATCTTCCCAGCACTATCAGCACACTTGAAAAAGTTTTATTGTATACAATTTCAAGCATATATATACAGAGAGAGAACAGTATAAAGTTCCCCCCTGTGCCCCTCACCTAGCTTCAATAGCTAACAACCCAAGGCCCGTCTAGTTTCACCCACTCCCCACTGCCATGCAGATTCCAGGCATCATATTATTTCAACTGCAAAAACTTCAGTATATTTCTCTAAAAAAAATGAGTTAAAAAACAAACAAACATGATATCATTTTAAAAATTAACAGTAATTCCTAATTTCACTGAATATTCAATGTCTGCACACTTTCTTTTTTTTAAAAAGAAATTATTGACTTTAGAGAGAGCAAGGGAGAGAGAGAGAGAGAAACATTGGTCAGTTGCCTCCTACAGGCCCCGTGCTGGGGATCAAGCCTGCAATCTGGGCATATGCCCTGACCAGAAATCAAACCGAAGACCTTTTGGTGCATGTGATGACAGTCAACCAACTGATCCGCCAGCCAGGGCTTTTTTTTTTTAAATCCCCACTTGAAGATATGTTTTATTGACTTTCAGAGAGAGAGAAAGGGGGAGAGAGAGATATACACATTGATGTGAGAGAGAAACACCAATAGGTTGCCTCCTGTACCCACCCCAACCAGAGAGCAAATCTGCAACCTAAGTATGTGCCCTGACCTGGAACTGAACCCACAATATTTTGGTGTACAGGACAACGCTCCAACTAACTGACCTACCGGCCAGGGCTCAATGTCAGCACACTTTCAAAATATAATAAGATGTAGTTCCAAAAGCACCTGATGCCTCCTAAGAAAAATAATTAGAAAGAAGTAAAAAGGAAAGTTTCTATATCCCTGTAAACTACATTTAGTACCTGTGTTATGTTCCCTAGGTCAACACAGCTTCAATGAAATTAATCTAGAAGACAGGTCACTGGTTTTCTATGAAATGGAAACAGAAGGCCCAGTAATGACTGGAGTCGGCACACTCACCCAGGCTCTCAGGGTTTGCCTCAGCAGCTTCTGACCCGCGTTTTTCTTCTGCCTCATTGCCCAGGCTCACCAGGGACTTCTGCTTTATCTCTAACTGAGGGGGGAATTTGAAACACATAATTAGGCTGTCCAGACACGACAACAGGGCAGCCACAGCAAATTACTTCAAAAGCACACAGGGTTGAGATCATGGAGAACTTTATAGTTATTATTCAGCTAATGAGGACATAGGACTAAGACATTATTGTTAATCCTAGAAGTAACCCAGGCTGTGGAGCTATCTTAAGGTAAATCCACAAAACTACCTTCAACTATTTGAGAGGAGCTTGTACCCATGACCCTATTATTTAAAAAACTACAACTCTAGAACACTGGAAGTGGAGAGGGGACTATCTAAGGCTGACCTAGTACAGATGAAGAAGTGAAGGTCCAGAGAAGTGAAGAATCTTGCAAGGGACATACACTTGGTTTGCTGCAAGTTAGACCAAAACTTGATCTCTATTCTACCCTGAACGAGGGGATACCTCTAAGTGATGTCTAGACTGCCAGGCAAAGGTTACAATATGACCACAGTACTAAGATCCCAGGCAGAAGGCCATGTGTGATTTATGAGAGGCCAAAGTCTTAGAGAGAAAGCTGGCATCTTGTCCAATGTCAGCAGCTTGTATAAGGCTAAACCAGAAGCACAGTCTACAATATGCCTCATCACCTGCCAAATCTTTTTTACTTAAGCTGTTATGTGGTAGCTGACTACATCATACATCCCTTTTCTTAAACTGTTATTAATGCCATGGTTTCTCTGTCAAATCTTCTGATTCTCCTTCTACCATTCTGATGACGATACCTTTTAGATTCTTTTGAGAGATTCTGTTCATTTTGGCTTCCATCTATCTATCCAGTACTTTTGGGCACCATGTATGTTCTGATCATTATGGATTCTGTCCAAGGCTGTGTGTTCCCTCATAAACTCATACTTTAAAGAAAAACTATTACCAATGATTTGCAGATTCCCTATCTCAACCTTGACATGTCTGTGATGCATCAGCCATTTAAACTCTTTCATGTTTACTAAATTCTGCAGCTAGATGTCTCAGATAACCTAGATGTCCTCATACTCAACATGACCCAAAGTGAACTTTCCTGCCCACTCTCAGATCCAAGACCATCTTTCCTATTCTGGTCAATGCTTCTATCATCCACCAAATCACCCAGCAACATGGGAATGGTCCTAAATTCCATCCTCCTGTTCACCACTACATCAATTACAAAGTCTAATTATTTTATCCTCTAGGTAGCAGAAGCCATCCTCATCTAATATCACAACTGGTCTACGTTCAATTTCATTATCCAGCCTCTACTAAGTAAAAAGTTTTTCCCCAATTACTGTACAATATTTAAGATGATTGTGTATACATAAAAAAAATACGGATATATAGGTATTCATCTCCATGCTCAAGAAATAAAAACAATTCTCCTAATTTTTGTGTTTATAATATCCATGTATTTATATGATTTTACTACATATTGATGTACATAACATACAGATTTGGTTTGTGTTTAAATTTTATATAAGGAATATCATACTTATGTATTCTACAACTTGCTGTTTTGCTTATTGTCATGTTGGTGAGCACCACCCATGCTGATACATGCAGCTCTACTTCATTCACTTTCATTATAATCCTGTATTGTTATTATCGCTTTACACTGTAATATAATATTACATAGTAGTATAATATGCAACCTGTTTCTCCATTCTCCTACATTGTTCTTCCAGTTTATTGCTGTCAGAAACAATGCTGCAGACCACTTCTCTAAAATGCAGAAGGGCCTCTCCCCAGACTAAAACCATCAGTGGTTGCTCAGTACCTAAGGCAGTGATGGCAAACCTATGACATGCGTGTCAGAGGTGACACATGAACTCATTTTTTTGGTTGATTCTTCTTTGTTAAATGGCATTTAAATATATAAAATAAATATCAAAAATATACATCTTTGTTTTACTATGGTTGCAAATATCAAAAAATTTCTATATGTGACACGGCACCAGAGTTAAGTTAGGGATTTTCAAAATGCTGACATGCCGAGCTCAAAAGGTTCGCCATCACTGACCTAAGGTAATGCTTTCCTTCCTGGTCTAACAGGTTCCACAGGGTACCCTTTGGGGTTTCTAAGGATGTAGGTGGGCTCAACTGAACCCTGTTTGTTCTGAACATTCTCAATACTCACCTAATTATGATTTCAAGGAATCTAAATTAGTTTATATCCATTCATGTCACTAAACTTTAGTTTAAAAAACATTCCTAAAGTTATATTCTTGGGAAGGGAGTTACTTATCTTAATTCTGTGATACTGTGGTGGGAAATTTTTAAAAATATAAAAATTACATGCAAAGAAAAATCTTACCATCCATATTCGAATCCCATCTGCCAAGGAATACACCTGAGCAAACTCCTCACTCAGGGCTGTGGTGCCCCCACTGTTTACTGGGGAAAGGAGAGACGAAAAGATTACATTCAGTTAACACGATTCACCACTGCGACACCAAGCACAGGGTAGTTTCTAAACCTACCCACAGAAAAAGCTCTTCCCCGACACACACATTGGGAGTGGTTAAAAGAGCCACGGGGAAAAAATTATCAACTAAGCCACAAATAGCTGTGATGGGTTCTCTGTGCTACTTCAAACTAACATTTTTCAAATGAACATCTGAAATGGACATACTAGTAAAGTGAGTAAAATATTAAAAGAAAAAAATGTACAAGACATGAAAAGTATTTAAAAGTAAAATAACAGATACTAAAAATGAGCAAAAAATAATTATTGACATTGAAAAAAGGTCATGGTATATATTAAATTTAAAAAGCTGGTTATAAAACAATATAAATAAAGTTGTCTTATTTAAAAAGAATATACATTAAAAACATATATATATAGGGTAGGACAAAAGTAGGTTTACAGTTGTTTGTACAGAAATTAATACAGCCCTAACCGATTTGGCTCAGTGGATAGAGTGTTGGCCTGCGGACTCAAGGGTCTCAGGTTCGATTCCGGTCAAGGGCATGTACCTTGGTTGCCGGCATATCCCCAGTAGGGGGTGTGCAGGAGGCAGCTGGTCGATTTTTCTCTCTCATGGATGTTTCTAACTCTCTTTCCCTCTCCCTTCCTCTCTGTAAAAAATCAATAAAATATATATATATATCTCTAGATCTAGATAAAGGCTAGGTAGATATATAGAAAAATGTTAATAGAGGTGTTCTCAAAGTGATGAGATTATAGTTGATAATTATTTTAAGCTTCTCTGTATTTTGTAAGTTTCTACACAAATGGATATTATTTTTATAATTCAAAAAAGTTGTGATTTTTAAAGAAAGACCTGCCCCTTCTCTTCATCTAAAAACCAAAGGGATAACATATGTACTAAAAGAGTGTAAAGCTCTTGTTGAATCAATATACAATGCAATGAATATTTTCTGAACATGTAGAATATTCTGGGCTCCAGATCAGGTACTAGGAATATAGTGCTGAGAAAGAGAGACATGGGTCCTGCCCTCAAGTAGCTTTTAGTCGAGTTGAAAAACTCCTCCTGTACATTTCTAACTCAAAAGGGTAACCAATTTTTAGACAAATATGAGTAAATTAGCTAGACAAGAACCACTCTCTAAGTAGCTCAGTTTTAAAGAGCCCACGATCAGTCCTCAAAGGCTGGGCTAGAAAGAACTGAGACCAAGTATGTCTTCTTCAAAGCAACAGTGGTAGGCATTCTCAGAACAACCTATATTCAGCAAAACATTTCTAACTCTCACATTTCATTGTGTTTCTCTACTGCAAATAGTTATGTGTTAGCTGAACATGATTTGAAAAGGAGCTGCAGAACTCTACCCAGCCGAAAACTTGCTGCTTCTCAGCTTTTAACTCACAAAGCTTTTTCCCTCTATGCAAAGTTCCCAGATAACAAAGATTGTGCAGCTCTCTAACCACAATTTGATTATGAAACACACTGAATTTTTCAAAACCATAAAGGTCCCGTTGTTCCCCATTCCCTAGCAGAGATACACTTTTTCATATGATGGTTGTTTCTATAAGTCACTCATGTTTCAATGTAGTTTTATTTTAGCAACTTCTTAAAGGAGATATTAATATTTGAGGGACTAATCAAGATACTTTGGAAATTAGGAAATAAATTCTGCAATATGAGATCCAAAGAACTCAGCAATAAAGGCAGTAGTGATAATTTCAATATTAATATCAATAATATTAATAAGAGCAACAGTCAATTACCTACTCTAATGGAAGGAAGCATTTGTTGCTGCTTATTTCATCTGCACCATGGAAAGAGCACATAACCTGCCAGAGTGCTTGGGAAAACACACACCTCATCTTTAGATGGGTTTTCCCCCTGAAGGATTAGGAATGGAGAGAGACTCTCCCCCTCCTGTGGGTCCTGTGAGGCTGCAGGCCACATACACAGGAAATACACAGAGATGGTATCCCTGATGGAAAGAAATGGTGGAGCAGGCTATCAACAAAGGAAGCCAAGCAGAGATGATGCTACAAAGAAGCTGCAAGTCTAAAGATAAGAATTAATACCAACATTTTCCTCCTTAGTCATGGCACATTGAATTACCTAAACAACTGTTTTAATTGGAATTTCTTAGAATGTTAGAGCTAATCAAATCTAAACTTTTATAAGTAAGGACACTAAGGAGCAGAAAGGTTGTCAGATTAACCTGAAGTTGCACAACTTCTAGTTTTTGAGCTGGTACTATAGCCCAAGTTAAGGGTTTCTTTTCCATTACACTTCTTGGTTGTTTTCCATTAGAATTTTGGATAAGACAAATTATCTGCTAATTAGGAAACTAATTAACTGCTAATTAGGAAACTCAAAGCTACTTGCCATATACTCCAGTCATGAATCTTTTGACTGGCAAAGCAGACCTAACAAGATGATGTCTATAATTATAGAAATACTAGAGGCCCGGTGCATGAAATTCATGCACTTGGGGGGAGATGGTTGAGGGGGGGCCCTCAGCCTGGCCTGAGACCTCTCACAGTCCGGGACCCCTCGGGGGATGTCTGACTGACAGCTTAGGCCCACTTCCAGTCAGACATCCTTAGCGCTGCCGTGGAGGTGGGAGAGGCTCCTGCCACTGCGCTCGCCAGCCATGAGCCCAGATTCTGGCTGAGCGGCACTCCCCCTGTGGGAGCGCACTGACCACCAGGGGGCAGCTCCTGCGTTGAGCATCTGCCCCCTGGTGGTCAGTGCACATCATAATAACTGGCTAACCAGTAGTCTGTCTGCCCCTTGGTGGTCAGTGTACGTCATAGTTGAGCAGCCTTAGCATACCATTAGCATGTTACGCTTTGATTGGTTGAACGGCCAACTGGACGACCGGACACTTAGCATATTAGGCTTTTATTATATAGGATATTTATATTTCAAAATATTTTATTTACTTAAGTTAGGCTTTCTTAAAACTTAGCAATTGGCCTTCAGATGAAAAATATTCCCTGTAATATAAGTTACCATATTTTTGCAGCTTCTCATATAAGTCTGGAGTGCGATACACCAGAGCAGCAAAGGTGGCGTTCACAGCTTGATCAATAGTGGAACCAGCAACTATATCTGTCTTTGGGGCCTGTTTTCTACATGCCTGTATGAATCCTTTGAAAAGTTCTGAATATGGCCCACAGAAGTTCTGGGCAGGATCTGACTGTGCAAAATCAAGAAGAAAACGGTGGCAGGGATCATCAGGGATGTTCTTAACCTGGGAACAACAACAACAAAAACCAATCATGTTTAAGACATTCGTTCAAAAAATAAAGTTTACAGAACACCCACTAGGCCAGAAGTATAAACCAGAGTGCATTCTTCTCTCAGGAAGTTTAAATCTATTTTGGGGAGACCAGACAGGCATATGGGTTAAAAAAAAAAAAAAAAGGTAAACATAAGTAAAACATTACAAGCATTAAAGCTAGCACTACCATAAAGCAAAAGATTATGAAGTGCCAAATGCCTCTAAGGGACACCCAGTGCTGAGAATTCACAGGAGAGAGTTCAGAAAAGCCTCCTGGAGATGGGCTTTGGACTGGACCGTGAAGACTGGGCAGGTTTGGCCCTGAGGAACATAAACATTAGCAGAAGTTAAGAGTCAGTGGGGAGACTGACCTGGCCTGAAGTCTCAGCTGGGGAGTGGTGGGAACTAGAGTCAGATAGGTAAGGTGAAAGGAGACTGCAGAGAGCCTTGACTGTCACTCTGAGGAGTTTAGACTTCACCCTGTGGGCAATGGGGAGCCATTAATGGTGCTTGGCAGTGGAATGACAAGATAATGCAGTATTAAAAAAAAAAAAGAAAGAAAACTTGGTAGGTAGGTATCAATGTGACAATGCAAGTGTAAGATGAGGGCCTGGATAAAGATGGAGACAGAGGGGATGAAAAAAGATGAACATCACAAGGGAAAATCTATAGGGCTTGCAGCTGACTGGACAGAAAGGAGAACAAGGTGAATAAAGGTGATGCTAGGGAACAGTGGCTCAGCGCCTAGGAAAACAATAATAGGAGTGAGCAGTCACAGACGGGGGAGGGAGTAATCCCGATTTTATACTTCTGAGTTAAAGGGAGTCAGAACTAAAATGAAAATACCTAACAGGAAGATGAGTAACTGGCAAGTCTGGGAGAAGAACGAGAGCTCTGGGTACTGACATTCAGAACTATTCACACAGATGTGACAGCAGAAGAGAGAAGAGGATAAAGTCTGGTAGGTTGCAGGGAAGGAGAGAAAGCCTGAGTTAAGCCTACTCTTTACAGGAGAAATAAGAGAAGTCAGTAAGAGAGGCTGATGAGCAGTTAGATGTAAGAGAAGACAGCTGACTAACATGGAATCAAAAGAAGAGAGGGTCCGAAGGAACCAAATGTAACAGCGAGGTAAAGGAGAGGAAGAGTCCCTGCATTCATAAATTAACTGAATAACCTGGGGGTGGGCAGGAGGGAAGAAGGAAGGAAAAGTAGTAGAACAGAGAGAGGGGAAAGGAGATGAAAAAGAGACAGCAGGCACACCTGTTTCGTGTTTTAAATATTGTAAGCCTAAATAACATGCTACCACTCCAAAAAGCATAGCATGAAATCTTTTACTCTAAAGCTTGACTCAGTGGGGACTAGAAACAGACTTAACTTGTTTGTTTAATGACTCCCTCAAGAGAGATTTACTGAGCAATTGGTGTATTTTACTGAAAAGCCACCTATTCAATATTTTTGAACATCCATTATGCACTGGCCCCTGTGGTACACAGTGGGAACACTAAATAAATAAGAGATAATTTCTGCCCTCAAGAAACTAACAACTTAGTAGGGGTGATTAGATATAAACACAAACATTTATAATTTAAAGTAATAAGTATTAGTAAGCATTTTCCATTCCAAATAGAAAGACAACAGAAGAGTAAATACCTCCTTACTATCTTGTTGTGGATGAGTGGGCCAGCTTGCTTCTAGTCCCAACTCTGGACATATCTGATGCCTGAAGACAGGTTTCCACAAGGGGGAGTTTAGGACTAATGCCATTTTTGCCTGAGGTACTGCCATGTTACTTCCTAACTCTGGAAAGAGAAGAAGGCTTATGAGAGTTCTATTTTTTTTCCATATTATACTAAGAATATTTGAACTGATGAAGAAAAGGTTTTAAAATGTGGGAATTATTAAGACTTGGAGGGAATTCACCCACATTTACCAAAATGTAACTGTGAACTTCAGGAACGCATACCCCAAATGAGCCCAAGCCATAGGAAGTCCTGAAACGCTGCCGTGCTGTGGAGCAAATTCTGCTGTCTGAATTCACCTCTGAAATGACTAATCTGCATAGTAAGCTGAAAACTGACTGTGAACCACCCCTAGGGTCTAACAGGAGACCATTCAGGAATGTTTAATTATGGTGAAATGTTCACACTTTGTAAACTGAACAATTAAATATTCATCACATGTGTGTTTATGAAGACAGAAAAAAAGACTAGGTGGAAATAAATTAAAATGTTGATAATAATTATCTCTGGGTGTTAGGATTAAGGATGGCTTTCCTCCATTATGCAATTTTCCTATGATATTTTACTTTTATCATCAGAAAAGTCAAGAAATGATACAGACATAAAATACTCTAGCAAGTTTATTCCATATAGTTCTTATTTCCTGGATGAATTTCATAACTAAATTGAAGAAATCACTTTAAAACAAAATCCAGAGACTAACATTAATTTAGTCTCTATTTCTGCCTTCTTATTGGAATATACCAAAATTCATGTATAAAAGAAGGATAAGATGCTACTAAAACTCAGCTCCCTCCCCCACTAAGCCTCCCCTATGGTGTCAAGTAGACATTTTATTCTGGTTTGGTTTAAAGGAAACAAAGAGAATTTTATTAATACCTTTTACTCCTCCATTGTGTGGAGGCACCTTAAGGAGAGAGAGCACTACCTTGCTCTTCAATGTGTCTGTAGCAAGAAGGGAAGGGACAGGGACGTGGACTTACGATGCACAGACTTGAGCGCCATGCACTGGGAAGCAAGACGCCCCATCAGTCGGCAAACAAGAAGTTGTAAATCCAACCCCCAAGACACGGCAACATCTGGCAGGCCATAAGCAGTAACAGTGAATTTGTAGCCCCACTCATTGTTACTGCTGTCGGAATGGAAGAGAAACTGTAGCCGAGGGCCAGCCTTAAAGGTCACTTTCTAGAACAAACAAAAAAAGTCATGTGGTCAAACAGGTTTGAGGAGGCAGCATTTCAATGAAAAATAAGCATGTTCTTCATGACTCAAAAAAATCTCAATTTAAAACTGGGTTATAGGCTCACCATTATATCTTACTCCCACCAAAGCTACTGAGGAGAAATGTACAAAGGAGTGGCTGAAACAGAAAATTCACAACTGTACCTTGTAAGGAAGCAAAGTTGGCAGAAAACTGCTGGTCAGTTTCTAAACCCAATGCCCTTCTGTCCACTACCTACTCAGCCAGAGCTCACCTCGCTCAGTGCTATGCTCCCATCCAGCAGCCCAGACAGCAGAGGAACGGTCAGCAGTTCAAAGCACTGAACCTCCCGCCCCAGGGGTCATGCAGCCCTCACTGTGAGGCGGACTCCTGGCTTTCACTGCCATGTTCTGGGCCCTCTTGGGGCCCCTCTTGCTAAGGATTACAACTATCCACTTACTCTAGGCAATGTGATATAGGCCAGGAATTGGCAAACTTTTCCTATGAAGAACCTTATAGTAAATTATTAGACTTCCTGGGCCATACATCTCTGTTATGACTACTCAAGTCTGCAAATTGCAGTTCCAAAGCAGCTATAGTTGATATGTAAACAGTGGGCATGGCTGTGTTAAAAAAAAAACTTTATTTACAAAATAGGTGACAGTAGTAGTTTGCTGAATTCTGATATAAACACTTCCTTTAACAAATATATAATACTAGAGGCCCGGTGCACAAAAATTTGTGCACTCGGGGGGAGGAAACCCTCAGCCCGGCCTGTGCCCTCGTACAGTCTGGGACCCCTCAGGGGATGACCACTTGCTGGCTTAGGCCTGCTCCCCGGGGGATTGGGCCTAGGATGGCAATCAGACATCCCTCTGGCAGCCCAGCAGCCCTTGGGGAATGTCCACTTGCCAGTGGGGAGTAGGCCTAAACTGCAGTGAGTCTCACCTTTTTTCGGACATCCTTAGCACTGCTGAGGAGGCAGGAGAGGCTCCCACCACCACCGCTGTACTGGCAGCCGTCAGCCTGGCTTGTGGTTGAGCAGAGCTTCCCATGTGAGAGTGCCCTGACCATCAGAGGGCAGCTCCTGCATTGAGCGTCTGCCCCCTGGTGGTCAGTGTGTGTCACAGTGACCAGTCATTCCCAGTCTTTCTGCTGTTAGGGTCAGTTTGCATATTACCCTTTTACTATATAGGATAGAGGCCTGGTGCATGGTTAGGGGCCGGCTGGTTTGCCCTGAAGGGTGTCCCGGGTCAGGGTGGGAGTCCGGATGAGGGGCTGATGGCTGTTTGCAGCTGGTCACACTGCCTTCAGGGTGGGGGTCCCCTCTGGGGTGCCCTGCCAGCCTGGATGAGGGGATGATGGCTGTTTTCAGGCTGCCTGCACCCCCTTCAGGGTGGGGGTCCCCATTGGGGTGCCTGGCCAGTCTGGGTGAGGCGCTAAGGGCCGTTGTCAGGCTGGTGGGCGACTGAAGCTCCCAACCTCTCCTTTTTTTCTAATTCTGGGCATTCCCTTCTCTCACTTTTGATCCATTATTGCTTGGGAAAGAAGAATATGTGAGTCTCACCTTTTTTCAGTTTCACACCGCTCATCAAATTCCACCTCAAAATAGGTTGCCCCTGGGCTCACAAAGACAGACACCTCGTGGCAATTATTTTCATAGTTGTGGGCAGACTCCTTAGTCCATGTATGTAACACTACTGGCTGTTCCTGTTGCCAAGTCTCGACATCCAGCTATGCAAACAAACAAGATAAGAAAGGTTTTCATCACTTTACATCCAGCCATACGCAATAGATTGTGCCGTATCCATGATCTAGACAGCCCCTGACAGTCCTACACAGATCACCACACAGGCTAAAAATATGCCTTACATTCCCATCTACACATACAGAGCATCCTACACTTACATTCTGCAGAACAGACATGCGGTTTCTACTGCACTACAGTGACTCTGATTAGCTTTCATTTTCTATATTATAACAGTACTATTATAACAGTACTATAATTATAACAGTACTATTTCTTACAAATCACTATTAGCATGAATTTCCAGTGGAAAAAACACTGAGTTAGGAATTTAAAGACCTAAAGTCCTATTTAGGACTTTAGCAAATCTGAGCCCATCAACTCTCCTTCCTTCTTTTGTTTAAGTCTTTGCCTTTTTACCTTTAAAATTGACTTTTTAATATATGCCCTTTCTACTCCTACAGTTGTGAGACTCAAAGAAGATAGTGAAAAAACTTTGTATCCTGTAAAGTTAAGTGAGGGAAAACTTCTTTTAAATACCAAACCATCTTGAGCCTTGCAACATACATTTTCACTTCTAGATTTCACTCTAGTTACTCACTTACATGGTTTTTATATAACTTTACTAGAGACCCAGTGCACAAAAATTTGTGCACTCGGGGTGGTCCCTCAGCCTGGCCTCTGTCCTCTCACAGTCTGGGACCCCTCAGGGGATGACCATCTTCTGGCTTAGGCCCGCTCCCTGGGGGGTTGGGCCCAAGTGGCAGTCAGACATCCCTCTGGCAGCCGGGGGCCCTCAGGGAATGTCCATTTGCCAGCAGGGAGCAGGCCTAAACTGCAGTCGGACATCCTTAGCACTGCTGAGGAGGCAGGAGAGGCTCCCGCCACCACCACTGTACTGGCAGCCGTCAGCCTGGCTTGTGGCTGAGCAGAGCGCCCCCTGTGGGAGCGCACTGACCACCAGGGGGCAGCTCCTGCATTGAGCATCTGCCCCCTGGTGGTCAGTGTGTGTCATAGTGACCAGTTATTCCCAGTCTTTCTGCTGTTAGGGTCAATTTGCATATAATCCTTTTATTATATAGGAGTGCCTGGCCCGCCTGGGTGAGGGGCTGATGGCCGTTTGCAGGCTGGCCACAGCCCCTTCAGGGTAGGGGTCCCCCCTGGAGTGCCTGGCCATCCTGGGTGAGGGGCTGATGGCTGTTTGCAGGCTGGCCACAGCCCCCAGCCACCCAACCTCCCAGGGGAGGCAGACTGGAAGCAGGTATCTGGGATTTATTTAGCTTCTATAATTGAAACTTTGTTGCCATGAGTGGAGGTCACAGCCAGCTCAAGGCAGGCGGGAAGCTTGGTTTCCTCCATCGCCTGGGCAACCAAGCCTCCTGCTTGTTCCAGCTCTGTGGCTGCTGGCCGCTATCTTGGTTGGATTAATTTCATATAGTCGCTCTGATTGGCTGGTGGGCGTGGCTTGGGGCATAGTGAAGGTATGGTCAATTAGCATCTTTGTCTTTTATTAGTGTAGACGTGCTATAAAATTCTGACATTAATACATGCACAGCTTTCTCTGTGTCTCCTTTCTAACACTGACCTCACCCAATAGACTCACACTGGCATTTATCCTTATTGGCAAAACCACTGATAAAATATAGGGGGTCTTCTCAACAACATTTACCTGTGTAAACCTGTACCATACCATGGTATGCTTCACTAAGCATGGTCACACCGCTCGTGAGGGAAACACACAGCAGTTTAAGTGCCAACTCAAGTTACCTTATTCAGTCCTCCCTCGGGGTCACTGCAGAGCCTCTTCAACAACTCTGTTAGGGTACTGAATTCTCTCAAGAGTTTGCAGTGGGAAATGTCTAAAGTGCAAAAGTCCAGGAGAAAGATTACCTAAAGGAAGATGAACAAAGCACTTAGTGTCCACTGCAGACCCTCCTGCCCTTTACAAATGGCTGCCACTTTGTCTTACCAGTTGTCGAGCTGCCATTGAAAACACCGAATTACATAGTTTTTCTACTATGGTTTTTCCACTATACTGTGACAAAAGGGACTCCAAAATCACTCTTGTGCTTCCCAGAAACTGTTCCACATCTACCAAAACAGAAAGAAAATGTGTTATACAGGAGAAATATCACTTGCTTGGTCATCATTAAGGGTAAGGTGTCACAGAAGCTATGAAGGAAATTCCACATCAGAAAGACCAGGAGACCAGGAACTATTATACAAATGCTTTCCTCTAGGCAAGAAAAGCAATGCAAATCCAGTAAAAGATTCTCTTTAGAATGAGTAATTCATTTTTGCTTCTTTTCAAAGAGGTGGAGATATTACTTTTGTAAGTAAAATTGCATGGCTGACCGACCCCATTGCTACTTTCCCTTTGTTTACAATGGGCCATCACTAGGTGTGCCATATCATGGGACAAGTTTTAGGGGGCAGGGCTCAACAGTGTAAGCATTTTTGTCACAGCTGCTGAGACCAAGTTTGATGGAACTAAATTTTCCACATATAATTTCTCAGAACCTGCTAAGTTTCATATAATTTTCTGTGGGTTTATGGGACATGAATCTGAATATTTTCTGTAATCAGCAAAGATCACAGCAGTGCTCACACACCTTAGACTCTAATGGTATAAGACTTTCCCTTTTGGGTGACTTAACTAAAACAAGGAAGGCAGACTACTGAAGAGTATGACATCATCTAGTAGTGCTGTATGACTGCAGAGTGTGACATCATCTAGTAGTGCTGTGTGACTGCAGAGTGTGACATCATCTAGTAGTGCTGTGTGACTGCAGAGTGTGACATCATCTAGTAGTGCTGTGTGACTGCAGAGTGTGACATCATCTAGTAGTGCTGTGTGACTGCAGAGTGTGACATCATCTAGTAGGGCTGTATGACTGCAGAGTGTGACATCATCTAGTAGTGCTGTGTGACTGCAGAGTGTGACATCATCTAGAAGTGCTATATGACTGCAGAGGCAATGTTTAGGTTGTGCAATGACCCAAGACTGCAATAAAAAAAACTTAGGCATGCTACCATATTCAGACAGGAAACTGGGCAAAAAGATACACTACCGAATTCTATTTTAAGAAAAAAAACAACCCAAAGACAAATCCAATTTGTATCAAGAAAAGAAAACCATATGCACATTCAATGAATGAGTACTAAAAAGTGAGAACATGCAGAGTCAAAACCCAAACACTTGTTTTCATGGATTTTGTCCTGAAACTCACATTTTTCAATAAGGTCAATGGCAAGCTCTTTGGCTCCAGGATCTGTGCTCTTCAGCTGCAGGTAGCACCAGGAGAGCAGGCTGCCTTGGACAGACCAGAACAGGGAGAAGAGCACGGAGCCAACCTCCGCCTGGGCCTTGTTGAGCATCAACAGTTCACACTGCAAGGGAGGAGACAAAGAGAAAGTGTTTACAAGGCCGTTCACAGAGCACAGCCAATGGCATTTAAGACAGCAGCTTTCACTGGCAAAAAAATTCTAGGGAAATGAGAATGGTCACAAAAGAGCTTTCAACCCAGAAGTGACCAAGAAAGGGGTATTATGACACCTCCTCTTTTGCCCTCAGCTTTTCAGAACCTTTACAAATGGTTTTCACTCCATAAGGTTCCTTCTGCCCCTCAGGAACCTTACTCCACCAATTATCTCGTTTCCCTCTCACATCATCCAGTTCCTTTTCTCTGTGGCTCCTCTCCCTGAGCCTTCCGTCAAATCTCTTCCACCTTAGAAAACAATTCTTAGTCCCCTATGGCTTTCTAACCATCATCTTTATTCTTCGGAGTTTCTCTGAAGAATCACCTGACCTCTAGGAATCAACTATTGCACATTAAGAACCACAAGACATGTTCATATCATATCTGCTATGTAACTGCCCCAAACTAGACCTAACTGGACCTCCATAATACAACAGATAAATTAACTGTGGCACACTCATAAAGGAAACACTGTGCACATGCATGAACATGGATGAGTTTCAAAAATGCCCAAGTGAAGAAAACATGTCACAGACATGTCCCCTCACTCATTTGCAAAAGCTGGCAGATTAGGAGCCAAGGCAGGCTGGGAAATCTGTGTGCTCATTGATGGTCACAGGAATAGAGCTACGTTCATACTATAAATGAGGGTTGAAGGGGAAGGCACAGTGACAGCTCTATCACATGCTCCTAAAAGCAGAAGGCAAAGACCACAGGGAGCAACCATCAGTTACCTCTCGAGCAGCAACAGAGAGCAGAGTCCTCATGACGGCCAGGACTTCACTGATGTTCGTGTCGGCCAGGTCGCCTTTCTCAGGTAAAAGCAGAAGGCCGCCTGGGTCCCTATCACTGAAAGAACACAAATTAGTCACGACACCTTGTTTCAGGAAGTGGATTTACATGTGTTTTTATCTTAAAAGGTTCCAAAAAGGAACCTAGCAAGACTTCAGTGTCAGTTCAATGGGATGAGATGAATTTGGGTCAGGAAAAAAGCCATGGTCCCGCTGGGTATGGGGCACTGTCCCAGCACATGTCCTTATGTAAGCACAGGCACATAAATCCTCAAGTCCTTAGAAGAGATTCCAAGGAATAAATCTGATGAATAAACCACCTTGACCACCAATAAGAAATACACCTAACCTCATGACTGCTAACTTGACAATCTGGGCTAATCATTCCGTGTCTCAAATGTTCACATGTCAGCCCCAGCCTCTTTCATCATCCTTGATACTCCACTCTGAACACATTTTATAGAGTCCTCTAAGTCTGGCATCCACACCAAGTATAGTTTGACTTGCAGACAGTAGCTCAGGCTGTTAGTTCTCTCCCTCCTTCAAGAGTCCATACCTTCAGCTCTGGCTGGTGTGGCTCAGTTGGCTAGAGCATCATCCTGCACACCGAAAGGTCATGGATTTGATTCCAGGTCAAGGCACATACCCAGGTTGCAAGTTCGATCCCCTCTTAGGGGAGGCAACTGATTGATATTTCTCTCACATCAATGTTTCTCTTTCTCTCTTTGTCTATCTTTCTCTCCCTCAAATCAATAAAAAACATATCCTCCGGTGAGGACTTAAGAAAAAAAAAGTCTATACCTTTAACCCCTTCCCCGGCAGAAACGTGTATACACGTTTTCACAAAATGTTCTTTTTTCAGTCGTCGACGAGTATACTCGTCTAAAACTTTACCTTCAAAAACCAGCTACATACGTACCATTCTAAATAATTTCATCTAGAAACTTTCTGAGGAAATACTATTCTTAACCACAAAAATGGGAAGAAAAAATAATTACAAACTGTTTTCATAACCAGCATCAAAAATACTATATAGAACCAAAATAAAAAAATTAGTCTGAAAAAGAAACGTTTTTAACAAAAAAATTGTTGGGAAAGGGGTTAATAATATAGCCTACAGGCCCATTAGAAGTCAAAGCAAGCAAAACTCTCCAAGCCATCCTTTCCAAGCACACTTTTTTTACTAAGCTACACTTCTGCAGTTGGTTTTAATGTAATTGGGTTTTTAGACTTCAGTACAGGGCTTCAGTTTTTGTTTTCAAAATTATTTAGAAACTGAAGTATTCAAAAAAATCCTCAATGGGTTGAATTTTAAGTTATCTTATAATGACTGGGACTTAGATTAAGGTCTGGGTAAGATTATCATTCTCCCACTACTTCAGTCACTCCTGCGACAAGTGGTTTATCACTCAGAAACTTGGCTGAGCAGAGGGATGTAGCTGGTTACTCCAAAAGCACATCAAAGGAAGGGATAGCTAAGGAAACCAGCTTTGCAAAGATTTGAAATATTGGACAATTGCAAAGAATTACAAACTTACCTAAAATACGTGCACAGTGAGCGGAAAGTGAGCTGCAGGGATTGCTTATGTTCCTGCTCAGTGACATTTTTCTAGAAAACAAGAAACTGCACATTCAGAAAATCTATTCATTGATATTCCAATGACCTAGAGCAGCATGAATGCCCCTGCCCTCTGTTCCCAAGCATGAGGAAAGCCGGGGTCAGCAGACCACCTCACGGTGCCCAACTAAGACCTGGCCTAGTGCTAAGAGGGAGCAGAACCACCCATCTAAACAGAAGATGGCAATTTACTTTTTGTTCACTGCTAAAGTTATCATCAAGGCTTCCTGCAGGAAAGCTCGTTGCACATGTTTAAGAAGATGACTTCCAAAAGATGTACACCAGTACTTTTCATCACTGGGCATGCCATTGCAAGAGGAAAGAGCAGGGACAGGGAGCATTTCTTGTGAACTTTGTTTTTAAATAGAATCTAAGCTCTTTCTATATAAGTCAGAACAGCCTATGGTGACAGTTATATAAATCACGCCTCCTGATGGGGCTACTAGGCTACAGTGGGAGGACTTTATTTTTTCTTAATTCAAGAAATGTATTGAACACCTACTGCTATGCAAGAAACTGAGAGGGATTTAAGACCCAGGACCTTGACTGGCACAGGAGGGTGGGAGAAATAAGATATGGCCGCAGATGACAGCAGTGCTATTTAATTCAGCAGAAAAAGAAGGGAAAATGTGACCCTTACCACTGCTGTCAGAGGGATGGGCAGAGGGAAAGTGACTGGGCTGCTCTGCTAATAGCAATGTCATTCCAGAGGTTATATGTACTCTTTCTATTTTTCTCCATGGGACATATGCCAGCAAAAAACAAAAACAAAAACAAATCCTTTGCTTAGCTCCTGGTAAATACTTCTAGTAAACAAGTAGGACTGAGCTTTGCCCACAGTCCAGTGGGTCAGAGCTAAAGGTTATAACTCAAAATGTGAAAACCGGTGTCTCAAGCTGATATGCAAACTTTGCAGACAGTGAAATACAACCAGAGATTCTTCCTCCTCTCTGAAACCGTTCTCAGTCATTTAGCATCAACACAATTCTCTTCTACTCCGAATGCTATGAGGTTGGTTTTTCCTTGTGGCAGGTGTTCCCAACTGGACTGAAGACCTTGGCATCAGAAACCACATTTTATGCTTCTGTTCTGTCCTTTATTTCTATAGGCTTTTATGCATCCCACAGAGCATTTTTGTTAATTTGTTAATTAGCTGCTGCATATAGAAATGCCTTTTCAGAATGCTGTCTCTAATTTTCCATATCAAGCTCTTACCAGTAATCCTATTAGATGCTTGTCTACACAGGCAATAACAAATAATCTATAACTAAATCATTTAAAAATAATTATTATTGGTTTTATTTTTTTCAATTGTTATTTTGAAAATTTCTTTTCCTGGTTCTACAGCACTGGCAGGGCCTTCTATCACATCATTTTTATCAGGAATATAATCCATACTTTTAACTTAAATATGTACCATCATGCTGAAGAGATGGTTCCGCTGGGTCTGTCGATCAGGAAAGAAGATGGCAGCTCCACTGAGAAGGGTATTCCTGACTTCTTGTTTCAGTATTTCCATGGGCACAGAGTCTCCATCCACCCTATCCACCACTGACAAAAATGAACAATGGAATCAGCTTTCATTTATTCCATCTATTCACTTACTATATCTATATCTGCATTAACTAGCCTATAAACTCATTACTCTCCATTTTGCAGTTAATACCAGAGCAAAGAAATATTTCTGTACACGCTATGTAAGGTAATTATGTTTTGTTTGTTTGTTTACATTTAACTAAAGACTATATATATCAGTTTTAATTTCATTATTTCCCTGTCCTTTTGAGACACAACTTGGCAAAGACTTAAAAATAACTTCAGCCCTAGCCGGTTTGGCTCAGTGGATAGAGTGTCGGTCTGTGAACTGAAAGGTCCCAGGTTCGATTTTGGTCAAGGGCACATGCCTGGGTTGTGGGCTTGATCCCCAGTGGGGGACTTGCAGGAGGCGACCAATCCATGATTCTCTCTCATCATGGATGTTTCTATCTCTCTCTCCCTCTTCCTTCCTCTCTGAAATCAATAAAAATATATTTTAAAAAAATAACTTCAGTTAGTCACATGTGTTTTATTTTCAATTTATCATTATAATATCTCCCTCAATCTATCAAACTCATCCCAGTAAAGACTAAACAGTGTGACAATAATTTCTCTCAATATCGGAAAACTGTATATCAGAAACCAGGAGGAAGTTATTGATGAGGGAATAAACACTGAACCAAAATAAGATTCAAAAGAGGGTCAAAGGAAACTCATTTTCCAACAAAGCAATCCCTTTCCTGGGCTTGCATGATCAGAGGACCCCCTGTACTCCACAGCAAGACTAGCACAGGATCACATTAAAGAAAACCCCAATCCTACCATCACATAAGTGTGTATAGAGCTCCTTGGCGGCCTCCACTGCCCGGGGGCTCTGGCGGGGAGCCTTTGCATCCTCAGAGGCAGCCGTGGAGTCTTTCTGCAGCACCAAGAAGCAGCTCTGAAGGAGCTGCAAAAGCAGGGTTTGGGCAGAGATGCATTCTTCCCTCGGGCTATAGAAAGATAAAATACATCAGAGAGCAAAAAGGCAAGTTGCTTTTATTCCCTTCCCTCCCCCCCCCCCCCCCCCAAAAAAAAGCCAAACAGTCCACAAAGGACTCTTCTCTAGACATCAGGCTCAGTGGAAACAATGCCAACCCAGAGGAGTAAAAGGTGGAATGGAAAGAACACTGTACTATGTAGTCTGCAAATACAGACCCCACCTGACTGCCCACAGTAGGGCCAGAAAATGCATTTTTCATCCTGTTTCCTCATCTGTAAAATGAGGGTACTGCTATAATACTTAAGCTGCTCATCCCACAAGGTTGTAATGATAATCAAATGAGAAAATGTTGGGAAAATACTGCCCAAATCACAAATGATTTATAAAAATGTGTAATTTCTATATAATATTACTTTTTTGTTATTTCTATATCTAGGTGTTATTTTCCATAATAACCAAATCTTTAAAATCAGAAGAAAAAAATTGTCCATTTAGAATAGCAAAACTCAGTGTCTGCAGTGTGTTTTTATATGATTATCACCTTATCACAAATTCTGACCTACTTTTGCTTTAATTTACGGTAAAAATTCCAGAAGATCTCCAAATCAAGACCCGCGAAGTCCAGAAAAGACTTATATTTTAAGCCACTTTCCTTCTGCTGCACCTAAAGACCAGAAAAAAAAATTAAAAATGCATATGGAGAAAGACCATAATGGCTCATTTACTTCTCACTGTTAAGGGATGAGTTAGCCACAGGATAAAATTCCCATATAATGAATGCTTACTCTTTACTACTAAAAAGTCCTTGAACAACTTTTTTGGTGTGAAACTTTCTAAAATATGTACACATGTATGTGGTATGTATATGTATATATGTATGTAAATATATATATTATGTATGTATGTATGTAAATAAATACACACACACACACACGTGGCCTGGTGTACGAAATTTGTGCATGGAGGGGGGGTCCCTCAGCCCAGCCTGCATCCTCTCCAATTGGGGATCCCTTGGGTCGGGCCTAAACCGGCAGTCGGACATCCCTCTTGCAATCTGGGACTGCTGGCTCCTAACGGCTCACCTGCCTGCTTGCTTGATCGCCCCTAACTATCCTCCCCTGCTGGCCTGATTTTTTTGTCCAGAAGGAAGCTGGACATCTGGAAGATGGCCAGTTGACCCAGTCTAATTAGCATATTACCCTTTAATTAGTATAGATCACACACACATACACACCCATGGAGGCTCCCTGACTTCATCAACATCACACCTGAAACATAAATGAGTCTTCACTGGATGATGATTACTCTCCAAGACCACATTACAGTATATTTTGACCCTTCCCTGAATGTAGTCTAACAGACCAATTCTGCTATAAATGCTCCTGCTATTTCTCAGCATCTCTCTCTCATTTGCTATTTCCTGCTGTATAAGAGAGCTTGAATAACAAAGAAAAAACAAACCATATAAATTGAGTTACCAGCCTCTGAGCAGCGCCCTGAAGCAGAGTAAAGGTCAAGAGTGCACAGTGCTGCCCAGCTGGTATGGCTCAGTGGTTGAGTGTGGACCCATGAACCAAGAGGTTGCCAGATCAATTCCCAGTCAAGGCACATGCCTGGGTGTAGGCTCGATCCCCAGTGGGGGACATGCAGGAGGCAGCCAAATTGATGTTTCTATCTCTTTATCCCTCTCCCTTCCTCTCTTTCTAAAATTAACAAAAACATATTAAAAAGAGTGGACACTGTTGTACACCACATGAGAGAGCATCAATGAATTCCTGGGACAAACCATGTTCTCTATAGTGGTGGCTGTAAGAATTAACCTTTGAGTGAGTTATTGTGTTTTTATTAGTGACTGTAGAAGTCAGCGTGAAAAACACAATGATTTCAAATTCTGACATTATTTTGGTACTTTTAATAAACAAATAGAATTTACCTATACTTCAGGAATAATTGTCCTTAAAGAAGACATAAATCCTATAAACTTGCTTCAACTCCCCAGTCTTCCATTGGCAACCATAGCTGGGGATCTTTAAGCTCTGTGTGTATGTCTAGTCTAGGAACTCTCACAATGATGGCCATAAGCCACTTAGTGTTTCACTGACTGATGCCCTCAATGACCAGTACCTCACTCCCCTTGGCCTTCCAATGTCATCACAGCATGATGCCTCCCCACTCATTGATACTGCATGGCTTCAGCACGGCCAGGTTCCACTGACTGGTGTTCATTTCCCTGGACACTGTCGTTATTTTCCCAAAGGAGTGAAGTCTAACAACTGAGGAAACACTACCAGGTCATGGGCAAGCTGCTGGATGAACTGAAGGGTCCTAAGGAGCAGTGAGGCCCCGCAGACACTCTCCTCCATGTCCTTTCTACAGTGAGCACAGATGGCACTCTGTTCTGCTTCTGCTCTTGCAGGTCGGAGGTAGCCACTGATGCTCAAGCCTTGTACTCCCAAGCGCTCTGCCGACTCCTGACGGGTGCAGAGGAACTTCACCATCAAGTACTAGAAAGGACAAGAGAGATTTCAGGCGAAGGACTCAAGAGCCCTGGATATTGATGAAAGGGCGATAAGAGCCTTCTTTGGAAGGTGCTCCTATGACTTTAACAATTTATGAGGTACCAGTATGCCTAGCACTGGGGACGCATCTATAACAAATAGGGGAAAAACACACACAATACAAATGCTGAATGAAATCTGGTTTGGGAAAGATCATGATAAGAGAAATGTCATTACTCCCTCCTCAAAAACAGGATTAACACAGGATGAATAAGAGAAGTATGTTTGCTCTGTGGCACAGTCATTTTGAATAGAAATCAGATATATGGCAAAAACAGTCCATGAATGCCATGAGGAAGCATCTCAAACTCCCAGCGGATATATGCAACCCATGTGCTGGGAGCCCAGGACACAGCCTTGTCTGCTCAAAGCTAAAGCCATTTTCAAAACTCAACTTCTGTGCAAACTATCTGCTTCTTACAGTGAAAGCTCCTTGGTCTGGGGCCTTTCAGAATCCACTCCTCAACTGCATAAATATTTACTGAGCATTTACTAAGTGTAAACCCCAAAGATAGTTCTTATTTCTCTATTTAAGCTTCTTACTAAGACTTACACTAGAGGTTAAAAAAGTTAAGTAGCCAGATAATGTCGTAGCTATGGAAACACATCTCTCTTGCATTTATGCCTGTGCACTTGCCGTTCTCTCAGCCTGAGATGCCCTTCTCCACACAACTTATCCTGGCTAAAGATGGTGGCTTAATCAACTTTCCATAGTTAGCATCACACCACCTTTCCTGGAAAGCTTTCCTTAGTGAACTCCAGGTTAGGTAAGATATTTTTCTTCTGGGCTGCAAGAGCCCCCTGTATATCAGCCCATATCACAGGTCTCACATACATCTGTGCCTCTCACTAGACCAGTGGTTCTCAACCTTCCTAATGCCGCGACCCTTTAATACAGTTCCTCATGTTGTAGTGACGCCCAACCATAAAATTAT